GCGAAACCTCCACTTAAATTGTGTATCATTATGCAAAGGTTTTGAAGGCTAGTTATCAACGAGATATCGTATGGTCCGTCTCAAGTTCTTGTTATTTGAGGAGACGACACTGGCCAGAGTGCGTCGGGCGTGTAAAAAGAACTTTTTGTTTTACTGGTGCAATAGATATTCTACAGGGAGCAGTTTTTCGAAGGCCGATTAGCGCTTAACCCGGGTTTTTTTTTCTTTTGTTCAAAAACATTTCTTTGGATAATTTTCTCTGTTATTTTTAAGAGCATCCAATCATCAACTTGTTGACAAAATGAAGCTTTCGCATCTGAATTCAAATTTCGTTCTAACCCTCCTCTCCTGCGTTATCTTAACCCAGCTTTGAACAACCCGGCCCAAGTACTCTTAAAAAGCAAACAGTTGACAAAGTTTTAGATGTAATCATTAATTTTATTTTTATTGGAAATTCCTCATGTAGACAATTACTGAAATTTACCATAAAATGAAACCGTTACTGGCACTCAATTTCACACGTTTCAAGGGAATCATCAAAGCCTTCAGTAGAATGTGTGTGCGGCTCACGTCAATAACCTTTCCAGTAATTTGGTCGATTGTATCGATTTCAGTGGCTTGAGTGGCACGACTGTGGGCTGGTCACGTTTTTCCGAATAAATAGCTAAAATGTTCGTTTGTCCAGTGCCGAAAATATCACAAGTCATGATGAAATGGCGCCGCCGAGCTTCACATCTCGGTAGATTTACTTTGTGGAATAACGGCCGCCGAGCTACACAACTTGGTAGATTTACTTTGTGGCACTACAGCCGCCTAGCTACACAACTCAGTAGATTTGCTTTGTGGCACAACGGACGCCGAGCTAAACAACCCGGTTTGATGCATGCACCAGCAGTCGCACGCATTTTCCAAAGAAAAATATGAGGGCATAATCCAAAGCAAATTTTACTCAGGGTGTAAACTTTCAGCAAACTTTTGAAAGATGAACGCTTTGGAAGATTCATTAAACACAGATCGATAGTAGACCTTCAGCAAACTCTTAAATATGTACGCTTTGCGAAGATTCAGCGCACTTTTAAAAGATGAACGCTTTACGAAGACAGAGTAGCAGACCACAGCAAACATTTGAAAGATGAACGCCGAAGGACACACGAATCACCACGTGAGTTAGAACGTCAAAGTGAGGCAAAATGTAAGCAAGAGCCTCAGAACGAGGCAAATGTGTGTCCACACAAATGCAATCACAAAAAAGCCCTCCTTATTAATTGCACAGAACACCCAACAGAAATCAGGGGTTGCATTCTCGTACCTCGAACGCAATTATAGGCAACGGCTTAATACTTTAACCTTGTTGTTTATTGTTTATTGTTTTGTTTGCCATAAGTTGTACAAAGCAAAAATCAAAATCTAATTAAACTCTCATGGTGAGGAAGCCCAAAAGAAGCCATCGGGCTTATAAGGAATGGGCTCCCTCAGTTAAATAATTAGAACAAAATATTATCATAATATTATCATAATTAACCTGAAAATCTTTACATCCTTTCCAAACAGATATCTTGGAAGCAACTCAATTCAAGACTTTCCTGAAGGAATATTCGCCAACCTATCCGCTTTAGAATTAATGTAAGGTGCATTATTTTTTTAATGTGTAATGGTTAAGAGGAAGTAAGGCTGGAGTAGACGCTTCATTCTTATAGCAAGGATCTGATGGTATCAAAGTGACATGAAGGGTCTAGTAGGTAGTATCATGGGATATTTCTACGAGTCAGGGTTTTGTTTTGGGTAGCCCGTAGGGCGAGTCAAAATACAAAAGACGAGATAAAATATCCCACGACAGTACTCACTAAAGCGTCCTATAAGAGATTTATTATTCAACTCGAGGGGTATGTGGGCTCCTCTACTTAACTAGAATGCGTTACACACTAACGTGACTCCTTTGCAAGTCCAGTTTTTGATATATGCAACGTTGTTGCTCATAACGTTGCTCATTGGTTGGAAACGAAAACTTGTCAAACAGGTTTACTTATTAAACAATTTTTCGGGTCTTCGTAGGAGCTTCGAGGTTCTATCTTTCAATCATTTGCCAGGAAAGCAAAGGTAGAATATATTAAGGTCGACCCAAATGATTACAGTTCGACGATTGATTCAATTCATTTCACGATGTACATGGTCTACAATGTTTACCAGTGAAAATAAGTTATAGTAATTTGTGCATTAGGTTCGGCACATGAAAGAAAAGTTCAACGTTTGAGTCACTTCCTTGTCGAAATTCCCATGTGGGCCATTCGAACTTTAAATTCCTGGGTCTTCGATGAACTTAATTGAAGGATTAGGTTCAGTACATGAAAAGTTCGACATTTGACCTGAGCCTTATTGACTATAACTATAGGGAAATCAGGGAACTTTTCCCCTATTTTTGTCCTTTCGGCTGTTTTATCCATTTTTATTTAGATAAATTACTTTACGTTTTATTAAAATGTAAAAATACTGAACTTTATATCGTTTATAATACGTTAGAGAGAATCTGTTGTAACCAGAAATGTTTCATTTCACAGCGATTTGTCGTCAAACAGAATCAAGAACATTACACGTGGTGTATTTTTCAACAATAAACGTCTTCGCTTCATGTAAGTTTATTTTACTTTTATCATTTAAAAACGAAGCAGTCATTTATCTTACCCGGAGTAACTATTCCAAACATTTCGGTAATCGAACTATCGAACGATCGGTGCTATTGAGTTTATTAACCGATCATGATAATAGAGGAGTGTCCGACTTCGCCCGCTTACCGAAGGAAATCAAACCCAATCGAAATCTATACGATCACTCAATGTAGAGTATTTTTTTTAAATTCTTTCTAAAAATTCAAGGCAACAAAAAATTTAAACTGAAATGACCAAAATTTGTGCAGATTCTTCACAATAAGGCCATGAAACAACCCGACTAAAATACAATGAGCTGAAACAAAGCAGATTCGATAGTACGATATTGCTTTTCTCTACAATCTGGTCTTTAAACAAAAAGTGGTGCCGCGATTCGAGCTAACTAAACGCATCGAGGTCGCTAAAAAGAACTCAAAATAATCATGAAACAGTTTTCAAGAAAAAGGTATCTTTAATTTCTGGGCCAATTCTAGACTTGCTACAAGTCGGCCTCTCTTAAGTTCTTAGTGAGCGAAGCGAGCGAGAAAAAGCGAGCGCAAAAAAACGAGCGAAGCGAGCTTCAACGAGGTCGCGCAGGAACTGAGCGAGCAACGAAGTCTCGCGGTCGACTTGTTCTCCCTAAATGGATTTGAATCATATTTAAAAAAAGTTAACCCGGGAAAAAATGACTGTCATATGCTGTGTTGGGAGTGGCGTCAAATATCAGACACGTGCCGTTGTCTTTGAGCGCATTAAACACAATACAGTCAGTCGACGAATGGAGGCAGCAGGTTCTACTCCCACGAAGTCGTTTTCTAGATTATCTTTCATCCCAAAATCGAAGAAATCGATTTGCTTACTGTATGGAGAGCATATTGACAACGCAGACAAGCAAAGAAAGCTTTTTGACGATGGAGTGAAGACACAGGTCTGCATCAATCTTGATAGGATCTTCGGTCTTGGTTCACGTAACCTAAGATCATGCCCAGTTTTAGCAGCTTCCATACATTCTCTCTCACGTGGTCGCGCTCAAATTGAGCCTAAGACAGTCTCTCACGGCAGTGCTCCTGCGGCCAGATTTTGGCCGCAACGCTGATTAGTCTTAAGAGCAATGCCAGACCATCTGATTGGCTGTCGGAATGACAGGAAGTAGAAAGCAATAAAATCCTGGCTAGTAGTCATAGAGGGTCAGAATTAAGCCCCGTTGGTGCCTTTCCCTGCCTTCCGTATGCCTTCATTTTATTAATATGTATAAGTGTCTTCCTGCATTCTAATTTAGTGCTTTCCTGCATACTAGTGTAGTGCCTTCCGTGTGCCTTCCTGCATACTAATTCGGTATAGGTTTATTAATGAGTGTCTACCTTATACAATAGGTACAATAGGCTTGCCCAGGCTTTCCCGGTCTCTTTTAACCCCGATTGGATCGTGTAGTGTCTATTATGTCTTCAAAATAAAAGCGCGCTCGCCTTTCAGAATTTCATTCTTGTAAGTTCAGTTTGCCCGGGAAAAAGTATTACTATCACCAATATTTTTTAAAACATCGCTCCAGACGTGCAAGTCGAATCGAGCGCTACACCTCTGCTGACAGAAGATAAAGCGAATTCCTATACTGCCCCGAGAAAATGTGCTTTATTTTTGCCCCTGCTTCAGAATGGAAAGAGGACATAGAGTGGATCGCGCGTCATTCACACTCTGGTGTGAAAAAAAAACGTGCAGCTTTGTTGGTATTTGATTGTTCTAACAAGCTAGCATTGAGAAAAAGTAAACAGGCTTGGAGCAAGAATCGTATGTTTCTGACATGCTACAAAAAGGAGTGTAACGTTTTCATGTGGATAGACCAGGCAATATCGCATGGTATCAAGGAGCAGCTATCGTATTCACCTCAGCCACAGGTCGCAAGATTCCATCCTTATGAAGAGGTAAAGGGGATGTTGAGAAACGACACCAAGAAGCTAAACAAAAAGCATCTATTCAACACCAGCGTCAAACACGCGAACATGACGAACGGTTTTTAACGTGTGACAACGGTTTTAACAGTCTAGGAAGTCCTAACATCTTTCATGGGCTTAGATACAGAGATTGGATGCGCGAAGTGTGGGAATCGTATAAGTTTTATGTCCAAAAAATGAAAGAAGATTCTTCAGATGATCCACATCCAACACTTAGTTTAGAGAAAGACGATGTGCTGCGTCAGCCGTATTACAACTACGCAAGGGAGGACAGGCATCATCCAGGAAGTTACCGAGTGTTAAAGGCTTTGTATGAAAGACACATTGAAGGCAAACACGTACCTTTTCAACTTTATGTCATCACCCCCGAAGAACGTGAAGAGATTGAAAACAAAGAAAGTTACCGTCTTATCTGTCTAAGGCTATTGTACAAGATGCACGCAGATCAAAATGCATGAACATGCTTTACAATATAAGGAACCCCAGGTCTTCCGTTTTGTTCTAAATCAATGAAACAAGTTTGTTTGGAATAATAAATTTCATGCAACATCCTGTATAGACAAAAAGTTATAAAGATTGTGAAGTCAGCGATAAAACACACTTAAAGTGTGGGTAACAGTTTTTATTGAAACGCAACAATACAAACGTCCAGGAAAAAAATTCTATAACATTCATAGTAGGTCTAGTCTTCATCTTGTGGAATGGGCTTCTTTTCGTACAATCGAATGAGTAAGAATTTTCGCTTATTGATGGCAATTCTGTCGCTTCCAACCAATCAAATCCTTCTGAATCTTTAAGCTCTTTAATTTGGGTTTCCATCACTTTTTTGAGGGTGGGGTCTTTTTTCATTGCACACATCCACTGTAGATTCTCTAGAGTACTTTTCTCAGCTCTTTTCTGTAAACAGGAAGAACAGCGTTCTCGGCTTTAATACGAGCCACGTTTTCTGAATCTCCGTTTTCTTCGCATTGATTGATCAAAGCGTTGAGCTGGGTCTCATGGCGTTTCTCGGCTTCATCAAAAATGCATGACCACGGCTCTAAGTGCTCTGTTTCTTCGTGGGAAGACTCCGTTCCTTGGCTAGAGAATTCGCTTTCTTCGCTGTCTTCATAATTTCCAGCACCTTGTTGAAGAAAGTTGTAATTTTTGGTTTGAACTGCACGCGTTCTGATAGGAAACTAAACTTCAGAAAGTAACGCGTATCTTTTATAGAAAACTGGTGAAGGCGGGGTTACTAAGCGTTCTACTTTGTAAATACTAATCGATCTTACATCGATCCCACATGGACCCTACATCGACCCTACATCGACCCTACATCGACCCTACATCGACCCCACATCGACTCTACATCGACCGCACATCGACCCACACTCAACTCCTATTTCAACCCAGTTTCGTAGTAAAGCTATATCCCCCCACCACCACCACCACCAACACCACATTTCTATTCTTTTCTCTCCATCACCACCTCCTCATTTTTACTGTTTTTTTTTTTTTATCTGACAAGTTATTTAGAAGATCAGAGGGCCAAAGCGAGGCTAAAATGGCCAAATGAAGGCCAAGCAAGGGTAAAAAGGGCCAAAAAAAGATCAAAAGGGTCAAAACCAGGACAAAGGAGACGAAAAAGACTATCGGGCAAAGTTTCGTAATACGTTCTCTTCAGTCTATGTATCTTTGGGAAATGCTCCAGACGGCCCTGCCACACCTATACAACTAGGACAACTGTACCCTTCTATGGTGTCTCCTGGTCTCTTGCTATCCAAGTAAAGACGACAATCTTAACAGAGCATTATATAACGAAGGCTATCGTTGTCTAGTCCGAAAGCTAAACATTGATCTTTTGATTCGTCACATTCGTTTTCTTTCTGACAGAGTTGATGCCGCGTGTTTTCCAGTACCTCCTCTTTCTCTCTTAAAATCATTACCAAATCGCGTATAGCTAGAGAGGCTGCCATCAGTGAACCGTTTCTTGACCGTCTTTTTTCTAATCTGGATGGAGTTGTTGTTTTTTAAGACTTTTATAGCGTTCTTCCTAGCTTTCACATTGTTCTTTGCATTCCTCTTATTGGTTGGTTTTTCTTACATGATCATTAATACAAATAATAGTAAACCTATATAATAAATAACAAATCTGAAATTTGCAATACCAATTACTAAAGCAAGATCAAAACTTTTTAGTCAGGCACTGTTATTTGTGATTACACTTAATAAAGATGATGATTCCAATATTGAGAACTGTTGGATGACTACCGACACGCGACACCCGCGCGTATGTATGGGAAAAAAAAGACACATGACTAAAAATGGCCCATTTGTCTCCTTTTGTCCCATTTGGGCTATTGTGGCCTGATTTAAACTATTTTGGCCTGGTTTTGGCCTTTCTAACACTCTATATAACCTGAATGTTTGCGAAATAGATGTCATTTGTGTTCAGCCATAGAACTGTCAACATGGTTTACAAGACTGTTTGCAGAAACTGTCCGATTTCATTGGCGGGGCGAGGTACCTTGTCAGATTAGCTAACCAACTCGCAGATGTTCATCAGTTAGACCACATAAAGCGAAGACAGTATTTACAAGAGGCGAAACTGCACCCTAACGTTTAAGTCGTCGTTTACGAAAGTGAAGCGATAATTCCAGAAAAAAATTACACTATGCTACTACTCGCAATTGAGTACAGACAAGAAACGGTGTACGAACTGCCAAGGAGAAATGAAGTTTCTTTTAAAGCAAAAGCAAAAAGAACAACTACAAAGAACAAGACAAACCGCAAGAAACAAAGAAAGGTCGAACTCTTTGCCTAGAGGCCATAGGGAAATTGTGTAGACAAGGAAGGATTATTTATTGAGAACACACGTAATGCACGTAATAATAATAATAATAATAATGACTTTAATACAGAATCCACAGAGTGGTTCTTCGCCTGTACACTAAAAGCTATCTGAAGCAATATTCTAATAATTTACAAATGCAATAACAATCAAATTCAATAGGAGTAGTTTAAAAAATAAAGTAAAATAACATAGAATAGAATATATCCAATATATTTGGGTTTGTGACCTTAGAACAAAATGTCTAATGTGCCCTGGCATTGAAACAGAGTCGAATGCGGGGCATTTGAAAACGAATAGATCAGACGCTTACCTAACGCTTGGACTAGGGAGAACGGTTTTGTTAATGTCCAATCAAGATTGAAATAGTAGTAGTGATTTTAGGAGGTCGTTTGTAAAGAACGAGAGAACGTGGGTCTGAGGACCGACCTTTGCGGCACTCCGTGAGTTATAATGTGTGTATCGGAGTCGCATCGGTTGATTATGACGAATTGTCTTCTTTCTGGGAGGTAGTTCTTTAACCACAGCCAGGTATGTCCTCTGATTCCAAGGTCGTTCAGCTTTTGTAGTAATATATTGTGGGACACTGTGTCGAAAGCTTTTGCGAGAGCGACAAACAGTATTCCCACGAAAAGCTTCATTTCTATTGCTTCTCTCCACCTCTCTGTTAGGTGTTTTACAAGCTGTTCTGTTGACTTTCCCTCCCTATAAGCCCGTTGCCTGTCATCAAGTAAATTTTGCGTGACCACGTGATTAGTGATATTACTTGTGACGCTACTGTCTTGCTATGCTGAGCATAGATAGTGGTCTGTAACATGTTCTGTCTTCCTCTCGTCCTTTTTTGAACGCCGCACTGACGCTAGCAATTTCCACTGGTCTGGTGACTTGCAGGCTTTAACACTGTGATCAAACACGATCGTGAGAAATGGGGAAATAGACATACCTGCATACTTTAAAAGTCACGCAGATACGCCGTCTAGCCCCGTAGCTTTCTTTACTAGAACCATTCGTATTCACAGCAAAAGCATCACTTCTAAAGGCAAGGCTGAACCTTACATAACCCCTGAATTCAATTTCCGTTCCAGTTATAGTCAGTTCCAGTCTATCTATCTATCTATCTATCTATCTATCTATCTATCTACTCTCTCTCTCTCTCTCTCTCTCTCTCTCTCTCTCTCTCTCTCTCTCTCTCTCTCTCTCTCTCTCTCTATCTCTCTATCTCTCTATCTATCTATCTATCTATCTATCTATCTATCTATCTCTCTATCTCTCTATCTATCTATCTCTCTATCTATCTATCTCTCTATCTCTCTATCTATCTATCTATCTATCTATCTATCTATCATCTATCTATCTATCTATCTATCTATCTAACGTCTACTGAGCTAAATAGCTCGTTCAAAACACGTTCGTGCTAACAGAAAATTGTTTTAAATGCCTTATTTAGATTTACTCTATTTACCCTCGGTAGTATTTATAGCACTAATGCTAGCGGGGCTGAGCAAATGCCTGAAACAAATAATCTAAATCAAACTTAAAAGGTCTAAGAATCCCAAATGGCTGGAGGCAAACTAGCTTGCTATTTACAAGTGTGGCCCAGGATTTGAGCCCGGAACGACCCAGAACAAATCCAGCTAGCGGTCAGAGCGAGTTTTGAACTCGGGGCCTCCGAATTGCAAACCAAGAGCTCTAAGACTCCTTTAACCACTCGTCCACACTGTGGCTTCGACAGCGCGCCCTCGTATATAAACTATTAAATACCATCATGATATTGCATTCTTCTTTGCTGAATTATAGATTGCTCAATAAGAATCACCTTCAGTCAATCAGTGATGAAGCTTTCGAAGCCCAGAGACAGCTTGATATATTGTAAGTATAATCCGCTTTACTGAAAATATGTTATGATGACCATACCAAGGCAGAGTAAAGAAAGTAGTTACCTCGTATTGTTGCAACTTTTATAGAGAAAGAAAATCCATTATGAATAATTAAGGCACACTGAGCACAGGTAATCATCATGTCTGTGATAATGGTGTAAGTACTACCATAAATATTTCGAACAAAACATGACGAATATTAAAAATACTTAGAAGGAATTTTTACGTACAAAGCACTAGGTTAGAGAAACATAAGCGTTCGATCGTCTTCCAGATTTAACGTAAAACTGTGGAATGCGATACTGTGTAGCTTGCGAAATCTACACAAGAAGGAATTTAAAACAGAAATTCGACGACTTCTCCTAGATATTTTGGTAAAAGAAACCCGGAGTAGTCAATCGATAAAATCGGTATCGATTTATTAATCGATAAAAATCGGTAAATCTGATTTGATTGATATCGATTGTATCGATCAATCGGTAGAAATCGATGACACACCTTTTTCGTTTACTGATTTCATGCAAACAGTGAATTTGTTGACAATTGAGTTGCAATTGAGAGTCGAAGGATCAAACAACTTATTATCACTTTTTTAAAAAAAGTCTGAAAAAACCTTATCTTTTTTTAAAAAACCCGCTTTAAAGTCTTCTTCGGATGGCCTATATTAGCCATTTTTTTTATTTTTCCCAGTTTTTCACGATTTAGGTCTGCCGCCCTTTCAAAATAACCTCAGTTTCGCGTGTAGTTACTTCCCGGAGTAGAAAATAGATAAATAACGAAATCGATAAAGATCGTTAGCGATCAAGCGATTTTATCGATTGATAACGGAAAACCGTGAAAAGCTATCGAGAGAACTCTTTTAATCTGAATTTCAGGCATCCCTTTGACTCTAGAGTATGTCTGAAATTCAGGCGGGGAAGTCTTTTGTCTAAGATTGTATTTCTCGTGGTACTTGCCTGCGAGAACTGCGAATGTAATTACTTCCAGGAGTAGAAAATAGATAAAAAACGAAATCGATTAAGATCGTTAGCGATGAAGCGATTTATCGATCGATAACGGAAAACGGTGAAAAGCTATCGAGAGAAATCTTTTAGTCTGAATTTCGGGCATCCCTTTGACTCTAGAGTATGTCTGAAATTCAGGCGGGGAAATCTTTTATCTAAGATTGTATTTCTCGTGGTACTTGCCTGCGAGAACTGCGAATGTAATTATAAAACTGAACCGTTTCTGTTATTATGTACAAAAGGGTCACGGTTTTAGAGAGAATCTTGTGTCTGTAATGGTTTCCACATTTCTTATTTTCATGTTTGTTGATCAGTTGTTACTCGTGGATGTGTTTTCTCAGCTGTACTTATGCCAAAAAAACAACTTCGGACTTACCGTTATATATCGTTAAAATCATGAAAAATCGATAACATCGATTTGACACAGCAATTAAGTTTATCGATTTTCACCGATTTCTGTTATCAATCGATAAAAATCACTTGATTGCTATCGATTTTTATCGATTGACTACTCCGGGAAGAAAATGATTACATATCAGCACCTATCATCATACAAAAAGTTGGACTGGCTGTATAATTATGATTAGGTCTTTAAAGTTTCAACTGATTTTTCTCTCCAACCTCTAACGTTATCGTTTCCTTAATTCTGTTTTTATGTAATAATATTAATTTAAATATATCTATGCAATGATATATATTTAAAAAAGTTAAACACTAACCCTCAGTTGTTCCTCTGTCCCGCCTAGATTAGCTTTTCCTACCTGCAGGACAGTGTAATTAATTAAGTTAATTCTCACAATAAAGTTATGTTGATGATGATCATGTTTGCCAGTATGACGTCACGTCTCGTGTCAGTGATTTTCAAAATGGCGAACAAAGAGTTGGTCGAAGTGATGGCTAAAAAGTTCGAATATCTCACGGATGTATTGTTCCAATTTCTTAGATTTGGCGGTCCCTATTGTCGCGATCCCGGTTTGAGATACCTATTGTCTTAGAAAACCCGTGCCATAGAAAACCTGTACTTTGTTTGGATGAAACGTCCAGTGGTTTAATGAATTTTAAAGATTCCTTTCTATCGGCGCGCAAATTTTCAGAGCATTCATATCGATCGGTCACACTTTTAAGGGCCGGTGCACGGCGACATTGAGGAGTTCAGACACAGCAATAGGAAGTTCATCAAAGGATAAACTAGGCTCTAAGTGTGTATAATTTAGCTCTTCAGAGCAAATGGATCTCCAATTAGTCCCTTTAAAGTTGGCTTCGTCCATCAAACTTTATATTACCAGAGACAAATTTTAACAATTAAATACAGCAAGCTGTTTTTTTTAAACGAACTACCAAACAGTTTTCAAAAATGTCTGCAAGCGCAACACCACACTATGACAACAGCAAAACAACTGTAGCAACAGCAGCAGCCTCAAAGGATTGAGCAAAAAGCAACAATTTATAAGCAATAAGCACTTAAAGAGCAATCAAAACTACCACACAATCAATTACTCAAAAAGCCAATTAAACAGCGTAAAGCCCACAAATAAACCACATAAGAAACCAAGGTTACTAAAAATACGGAATCCTAAAAACCTCGCAACGCTTTAAAGGATCAGCAGTAAGATTAAAGGGAAACAAGCCAAAGGGGAAAACTGGATTAAAAAACTAAAACTTAACAAAAAATACAGCAAAGGAAAAGAAAACACTCTAGGAGTCGAATCTACTTCATCTGCTCGAAAAGGCAACTCCCAGACCACTGCACCATGGTGCCACTCATTTTGTGACTAAGTAACTTTGTTATATAAAAACAAGAGAGGATAAAGGGGGCAGAGAAGGCATCCCCCATACACACCCTATTCCATAAGTAATTCGTCTCGAGTTATTTTTAAGACCACAGATCCCAAGGGGGATTAGACAACAGCCAATCACATAGCGCGAATGTGTTCTGCGTGGATGACCCACGCTCAGAGCCACGCGTCTTTCACGAATTGCCGCAGAACAAAATGGCCAAAGACGCAGAGAGCGATATTGCTTTTCGTTTTGTCGACGAAAACGACTACAGAGAAATTTCTGCTAAAGCTGTGTCAGCGAAAAGGAAATTAAAAAATAATAGACCTTCCTCTCTTGTATGAAGCTAACAGTACAGCAGGGAATCCTTAACACACTGAATATTCTCTCAGGATCATATATAATTTACATTTTGAAGAGAGCAGTTTCTGGTTTGATATTTATTCTATTATTAGTCTTTTATTATTCAACAAAAAAAACGCTTGACGCCCTACTTGCTTTGTTGTACAAACGACCGGTTTCGGTAGACCGGCGAAATTTTGCATTTAATTAAAGCACTGAGGTTACGACAACTTCGAGTTAAACTGATTTCACGGGTTGTCAAAGAGTCCAGCGATTTCCTTTTCCCAGGTGAGCGCCAACTCATTTCGTTTCAATATTCAGAAGTGCTCTCGATCCCTTTACGCTTTCATTGCCTTTCGCCCGACATGTTTGCACGGCGTTTAGTCATGCGAAACCTCCACGAAACATCCACGCAGCGCGCGAGGTAACTTTATCCCGATTCTAAAAATAACTCGAGACGAATTACCTATGGAATAGGGTGTGTATGGGAGATACCTTCTCAGTCCCCTTTATCATCTCTTGATAACAACCATTTCGCACCGGCGCGAGTTTCATACAGGGATGACGTTTTGATTTGGTATCGTGTTTACATGATGACAGGGTCATTTCATATCTCGTTATTTGAATGTACAGTTCATGTTGATAAAATACACGTGTGATTCAAAATCGCAAACATTACGCACGCGCTACCAGTTCCAGTCTACCGGCAGACCGATTTCACACCGAAACGGGTAGTCGTCTCGCGTTTCCTTGATACCGTTGCAAGATTTCGTACCGGAGTGAAATTCTCGCCCAGGTACAACAAACAGGGTGAACTCACGCCGGGGTGACTCGCGCCTATGAAACTGCGCCGGCATGACATTTTGTGGTGGTGTCTTTTGAAAATTATAGAGCCATGAGGGGGAACGGGAGTGAACTCGCCCCGGTATCATGTAAACACCCCCTTAGTTAAAGCTGGTACTTTGTTTAACAGGCAAAATGAAGAAAAAAAAGACTACTTTTAGTTTTGTAGCTGAATTGTATTATCACAGATTTTTAGAAGGGTTTCTTTTCAGTAGTTAGGGAAATGGTTATCCTGGCGCATACTTCGAATTTTCAGAAATGCATTAAAAAAACAAATAGAATCCCAGATTATGCAAGGGGATACAGAAATGAATATCTTATGATAAGAGGGATTAATAAGACATGTGAGAAATTTGTAAAGTTAATAAAAGAAAACGAAGACTTTTATAATGGGCCTAAAGCTCTAAAGATTATAAGTAAAATAAAAAAATTAAAAAGTTTAGTTTATTTTAAAAATATTAGTAAAATAGTATATGAATTTGAGGATGTTAAAAATATATTATTCATACGTTCAGAATAGAAAAATATAAAGATTTATATTGCGATCCATATACTGGTAAATTAAATAAGAAAAAATATAATATAGAAGCAGAAGTAGATAATCCTGGTTTTAAAAGTTCTTATAAACATTTTTGTAGATTTTATGATGAATTAGAAATAGGTTATTTATTTGAGTATTATAATTATTTGTTACAAGACTTTATTTTTAATTGGTCTAGCACCAAGATGTCACAATGTTTTTCGTTTATAAATTAAGGTTTAAGAATTAAAAACTTAATAATAAAATGGAAGAATTTTTTGAGGTGATTAAAGAATTTGAAAATGAAGGTAATATAGTTGAATATGGAGTTTTTGATAAAATTCAAAGAGAAGAGATGAGTGAAAGCAATGACAAAATTAAAAGAGAGTGGTGATGAGAATGAGATTAAAATAGCAAAAAGATTAGCTAGGTATTATGGTATTTTTCATAATATGGGACCCATAACAACATGTCCTAATTTTCCTTTTGAAGAAGATAAGTATGGGCTGCATTATGTTCATGTTTATTTAGAGAATTTGGTTGATTCAGCAAAGAGAAGTATTGTTGGTGTTATTAAAGCTCTTGCGGATGATGAAAAATTAGATTCTTTTTATAAATATCTTATGTTTACTCATCTTTACTCTCCAGAGGAAATAGCTAAAATTGATCGTGAAGAATTAAGTAGAGAAGAAGAAAGTATTTTAAAAGGAGATTGAAGGGAAATTCCCGTTTGCTGAGTTGACTGTAATTAGGGGATTTTCCCAACAAAAATAATCTAATCAAATAATAAAATGGATTTCAAAAACAATATTCCTACACAAGAAGATCTAGATTTTATAGTTGATGATGGTTATAGACATGATGAGGATCCAACACATGACCCTAAAGACGACTCCGCCTCGTCAGATGATGATAAATACGTTGTTTCGGGTAAAGAGTTTAAAAAACTAACCAGAAAAGCTAAAAAACTCGGTGCTGAATTGCTTGATTATTCATCACGCAAAAATAACAAATATGTAGCAACACTTTCAAGTGGAAAGAAAATTCATTTTGGTTCTTCACAATATCCAGACTTTTTAATTCACAAAGACAAAGAGCGAAAAGAGAGGTATCTTGCTCGAGCTAAAAAGATTAAAAATAAGCAGGGAGAGTTAACTTATACTAATCCTGAATCATCTAATTTCTGGAGCGTAAATCCACTTTGGCCAGAAGAATAAATTATGGTTTAAAGATTAAATTATTATAATAAAAAAATGCAATCATCCAGTTACAATCATCTCACCCCAGACAACATTATCTTTAATGAAGCCAAAGAGTACAGAGTAAAAGATAGCAAGATTAAATACAAACGTATCCCAATTGAAGTCAGATATCTAAATGGAAAGAAAGGACCACTTGTAATTGAAACTCCACTTCTTTTTAGCTTTGGTGTGAGTGAGAAGAAAAATCAAGAAAGAAACAAGTTAGTTGGTAAAAGTATGCCAGTATGTCTTTGGGCTAACGACAGCGAACCGAATACTAAAGAAAAAGCATTTTTTGATGCTATTAACAATGTAACATCTCTCTCTCAGCAATATCTAGAGAATGAATACGGTGCAGATCTAGCATCAACTCTGTCTTCACCGTTTTATTACAAACATGAAGAATATGTAGATAAGAAAGGAAAGAAGAAAACAAGAACAGATCTCTCAGCTGCGCCAGTGCTTTATGCTAAACTTATTTATTCCGAGAAATCAAAGAAGATTCTTTCTCTATTTAAGACAAAGGGAAAGAAGGATTTAAATCCTTTTAAATATATTGATCAGTACTGTAATGTTAAAATGGCACTTATAATAGAAGGAATCTTCATAAGTAAAACTGTTACATCTTTGCAAATAAAAGTACATGAGTGCTATGTCAAACCACTTAAACCTAGAGAGTCTTTACTAACAATTGAAGAGGAAGAGGAAGAGGTTACTGAACAAGTAGTTGAAGACTTAGTTATTTCTGATAAAGAAGAAACTGAGTAAATAATAGGATTTTATTTTTAATACATTATTTGTATTAAGAATCAACCAAATCCTTAGAGCTCACCCATGAGTTAAATTTATCACGATATCCACTCCATTTTACTAGTGCCATTTTCTTTTTATTATCCCTCCTGATAACTTTTTCTATTCTAAATGTCTGCTGTTTTGCTTTTTGTAATTCTTTTCCATAGAAAGAACCCTTAATCTCTTCTCCTGTTAAATCAACAATACTATATGTAACAGGTTTTTTAGGTAAAACTTTATCAATAACAAATATCTCCTCTGTCCAGTTTGGTGTGTAACCCTTATCAAATACCTTTCTCTTATACTTAGAAATTCTAACTCTAATTATCACCAATAGAAAACTTTGGTTTACCAGGTTTCTAGTAAATAGAATCACCATACAAATTAGACCAAACTTTATTTTCATTTTTCTTTTTAATCGCTTCAGTAGGAGTCATTTTTATACTAGAATGTCTAGCATTATTGTAATCATTAACTAGTTTATCTATCTTATCCCAGTAAACAGTGATATTTGGGAGGCGTGTTCCATGCTCTGTTTTTGTAATACGTTTCTTTTCAGATCCAATTAGGACTCCAAATTCTGTTCCTCTCAGATCAGGTTGATAATCACCATCAAGTGATACTAACACTCGATAAGTAGACAACACAAAAGTTAGATTGATTGAATACTTCTTTTCTCCTTTCGGATCTGTTGAGTGATGAGACTTTTGAGACATATGTTGATGAATATAATCATTGATATCTGAGTAGGAATACATTCCATCTGTAAAAGTAATTGTTTGCCAGGTGGATCCATCGTGAGTGTATTTGATTTTATTGTTTTTATAATCACTTCTAATGTTGTACCAAGAGTAAGTCATGGACAGCCGATCAAGTGCAAGTTGGTGGGTTTTTTCGGGGTCAAGTTTCAAAGATGGATTAAACTTAATAGTAAAATCACCAGGTCTGCTTGTTCCTCTTTTTTCCCTGTTTATTGAGGAAATGTGGATAGCTCGTTCTTCAATTTTTATCTAATTGATATATAATTTTTTAGTAAATCATTTAGTTGTTTTTTTGTGATCACTTTCATTTGGTTGAGAAGATGTGCAATTTGAGAAAACTCAGGTATCACACCATTATTCCCAGCAAGAATTGAACCACCGAGTAATTCAAGTCTTGTTAGAAGTTGATGTGGGTTGTTAAAGTAAATCATTCCCTCCCCTACCTTATATTTAAGCGATCTTAAGTAATCTTTCATAGTATTTCTATATTTCATTAGTGTTCCTTTTTGCATTTTTTCAATTTCAGTTTCAGCTTCATACAGTGGAGATGGATTTTTAGTTTTCTTTCTACCACTAATTTCACCAGTTAGTTGTTCTATATTATCTTTTAATTGTTCTAAAGTTAGATCTAAATTTCTAGGATTAATGTCAAAAAAATCATTTGGTCTTTGGTAACCAAATTCTTTTAGTAAATCTAGATCTCTCTCTTGACATTCTAACATCATCATCTGAAGGTCTGGGTTCTGGAATCCAATTTCTATCCCAACCTTCTTCGTTGTCATATGGTAATTCTCTCATATCAGCTAATCGGTTGAATTGATCAAAACCTTGAGTAAGAGCAAGTTGATTTTTTTTAAGTTGTGCTATAGTTGCGTCTTGCTGCTCATCAATACTTTTTTAATGCTATCTTGAGATTTAATAAGTGGTTTAAATGTCTCTTTAAATCCTTCCCGAGCATTTTGTTTTTCCCATTTTGTTATTTTTATTATACACCTAATTGCAATAACGTTGTCATAGCAAAAAGCAAAAAGCAAAAAGCAAAAAGCAAAAAGCAAAAAGCCAAATAGGAATTAATTAGCCATGTGATTTACATTTGCGTATTTTAATAATGTAACAATTATTTAAGAAGTCAGTCACAATAACAAGAAATAATTCTGTAATTCCGCGCTGTAAGATTCCGCAGATGAAACACTGATGTGTGTAACAAAAGGGTCCTGACAAACGAAGCTTAGTTTGTGGCGCGGGAGAGGGACTGGCTGAGGAACGCCTCACCCTCTCCGCGATGGAAAGTCCTGCGTACGCCCCTGATTTGCTGCTTGAAAATTGTGATCTGATGGTGTGGTGCACTACAAACCATACGCAGACTGGCTTTTCTATTTAGCACTAAACGAAAAGACGCGTCGCGTTCCTGGAATTTACTCTAGGCTATATTTATTGAAAAAAAAATGGAGCCATTTTTTCTTTAGTAGTTATCCGATGTACGTTTGTAATTAGAGCACGTTTGAAATCCGCTAGATGAATCAGCCTCGAATTGCATTAGAATGACACCAAGAAACAGATGCAAATGATTTCTCTCATGTTACGTGATTAATATTCAGCTATAAGCGTGTGTGTTGGGAATGTTGCAAGCAATGATAATTAAATGCTAATTAATTCCTGTTTGGCTTTTTGCCTTTTGCTTTTTGCTTTTTGCTTTTTTCTATGACAACCTTATTGCAAATAGGTGTATCTCTCACCTGTTGAGTTAAATTGTGAACTTAAATTTTATTTCTTGCAAATTTTTTGGCTTCTTCAACATCCATTTTATTTAATGTACAGGAGTAAAACTACGAACTCATGACAACCCCAATCACTCTGCTATTACTTGTAGGGTATTTACTGATCTACCCAAAGCAATAACCAAACCACTTAATGGAATAGAAATAAACACACCTAATATTGTATTAAGTGGGGTTGTAAAAGCGGACATCAACCTTGAAGGTAATAAAATAAAGTATCTGGGGGCTCCAACCCAAGACAATGAAGCAGTAACCAAAGATTATGTCGACAAACTAGTTCATCATACTGCAGTTCAACCAAGTCATTACAACAACCAGTTTGCTTATCTTATGTCTAGTGGGGCTCAATGGACTGATGAAATAGATAGTGGAACTAGTTTTTTTGTGTCAAGAATAGGAGTCTTATCTCCTTCTAAAGGTAATTTTCATAACTATAACCACAAAGTAATTTTCGTAACAATAAACAAAAGTTCTCAAGGTGGATATAAGTACAAAATGTGAATCAACTTTTACAGGTTAACAGCAAATGCTGATTACACATTGTGTCTGGAAATACTCAACACTGATTATCAACTATGGCATAAGTCTCTCAAATAACTGTAGACAAAGGAACTTCAACAGGATTATCAATTGGAAATGTTGTTGTAAGGAAATTCTCCCATAGTTACAGCGATTCAAAGGGACAAAAACAAATTATGTATTATCACAGAATAATAATTAATTTCCGGAAGTTGTCATCTGGGAATAGATTCTTTCTTCATATTTTGGTTAATATACCACAAGATGGAACTGACCTGGCTGTGTATCCGAGACAGTTTTCAGGAGTTTACATAATTGCTTATGGAATTGTGGGTACATTTAGCAATATCGATCCAGATAAAGTTTACGACTATCACACCGCATTTGATATCAAACCAACACAAGTGGTGTACAATGTTGATATAGATGCAAATAATAAAAAAAATATTAAACATTAATCTCGATAGAAACACTGGTAACAGTGCTGCAACAGTTGGAATGGTAAAGGAATTAATTCCTTACACTGCAAATAATTTGTACAGAAAATATTTTGAAGAAGTTTTTGATTTTACTGATGCAACTAATTATGTATTAAGTAGAGGCTCATCTGGTGTTGTTTTTAACTCTTTAGATTCTATTACTGGTAATCCTACAAGAGATATGGGTATACCTAATAGAACCATAGATGATATAAAAAAAGAAGGCTTAGATATTACTGGTTATAATATTAGTTTTTCTCCTCCTATTGGTATTACAAAATATACTTTATGTATTGTTTTTTATCATTGGAGAAATAAAAATTTCAGTATAAAGTAAAAAGATTCAAATAGTGGAGCTACTTTATTAAATTTATACTATACTACTACAGGTAACACAGTAAATTTAGTTGTTAATAATGTAAGAAGATAATTTTCCATGTTAAGTAGTTTTAATGGAAAAAAAATTGTTATATGGTTGACAGAAAATTTTAACTCAAATATTACAAAAGCTAAAATAAGTAATTACAACTCAATATTAAGTTTACCAATCGTTCGTTACTCCAACGAACAAGAGTTTGTGTTTACAACTGAAGGTGGAGTGTTAAGTAAAATAATGTACTCCCCAAACTTTTACGACACCGACTCTG